GCTTTTAATTAAGAATGCACACACACACACACACACACACACACACACACACACACACACACACACACACTTTACGTGTTGTGGATATGAGTGCCATGGAGGGCAAGGGATGGAATTATATACGTGGCTGTGTCTGTCTGGGTATCTGGGTCCTTTGCAGGAGCAGCATGCAGTCTTAACCATTATTAGCCAGGTCCACTTGCTTGCATTCTTGGTCTTTCTGCCTCTCTCCCAAGGAGAGGCTCACATTTGCATCACCACACCCTCAATGCTTCTTTTTCTGAGACAGGGTCTCATCAAGTAGCTCAGCCTGACCTTGAACCCGAGTTCTTCTTGTCCTACCTCCCGGAGGGCTGGAATCACAGATGTGCCCCACCATAACAGGCCAAGATGGTATCAGATCCACAACCAATGCTACTGGTAACAGCTGGGAGATTTCTCTCCTACTCTAGATGTTAAGCCTAAATTACTTAGGAAACTCAGGGAAGTCATTTGAGGGGAGCCATGAAACACACACAACATGGACAATTGTGAATGGTTGTAGGAAGCACCCTACACCCTGAACACTTTATTAAGACTTTATTGCTTAAGTAGTCAGACACTGATTAGCTATAAATGTGTTCTGTACCTGGTCCCTGGTTACTCTGCAGAGCCTTCCCTGGCTGCTGGGAGCTGGGACACCACTGGGAGGGGGCAAGAGTGGGAAAAACAGTACTTCCTAAGTGCCTTAGAGGTGAAGTGGGCTACAACAGGGCCCCTGAGTTAGCACAGGGGTCAGGAGTGTAGGCTTAAGCCAGGGTCCAGGGGCAGTGTTCCCTGAGATGAGTCAAGCTCCAGCCCTCCTCTGACCTTTCTAGAATGGCTGGGTAAGAGGAACAGCACTGTGGAGTGGGCAAACTAATTATCCCTTATGTGGAAGTCATGCTGTGTGGAGCAGACAGCAGGAAGCTTCAGGGCAAGGGGTCTTCAGGAGTGACCACTGCAGACAGGAACAAAACTTCACATGAAGTAGCCATGTTCATGCAGGACAAGGCCGGGTTCCTCAAGGATAGACTGCCTAAGCCTGGGTTTGGGGTTCCCAGTTCTTTATAGGGATGCAGTTAGGCGTTTCCTTAACCAAGCCCACCCTTTATGCCTCCTAGGGGTAACGCTCACCCATCTTAACATCCAAAGGCTAACGTGACCTCCTTAGCTTTTCTTACAAGGCACTTGTTACAGGGCTGCTGGGATGTGGTGTGGCGGTGAGATGGGAGGTGGCTCTGGTGGTTGCATCTAATCTACACAGCCACAAGTGAGAGTGGGGGTGGCCAAGGCCTTAGGGGCTACCATAGTACAAGCACACAGCCAGGCCAATGAGCAGTGTGGCCAGGAAGAAGACGGCTGTAAGCTGGAGCTGCAGCAGCACTGCTGAAAGCACAGCATTGACCACCAAGGAGGAGGACACGATGAAGAGGCGTGTGATGCTGCTGCCATGCTTCATGACAGCTGACACAAGCAGTCCATTTACTGCCTGGTTCGGCACCACAAGCACTGCCCATCCAGAGAAACCCTCCAGGAAGCCTGGGCCTGGACCACTGCCAGCATACAATCCGAGGTTCAGGATCACCCCAAAAGTGTAGAGGAAGAGGTTCTGGAGAGCCAAGGGCAGCCGCTGTCGTTTCATGATTAGCTCAGTGTACACCAAGCCACCTGATGCATAGATCTCTCCTGCAGCCATCAGCAGCAGCAGTGCCAACCCCTGACGTGCAGAGAGGCGATGCCCAAGGCAGAGACAGTACAACAGAGCTGTGCTTCCAATCTTGAGATTGCTCAGCACCTGATAGGTGCTGGGGTCCATGTAACGCTGCAGATAGATCACCAGGTTGTTGTTGGCGCCATAGAGCAGGGCTGATAGTGCAAATGGTGCAGCCTGGCGCCAGGGTGGTGTGCCCTGGGGCCACGTTTGCCAACCCACCAGTAGGCAGAAGGCGCACAACAATAGTTTGGTCAGCTCAGTGAGTAACACAGCTGAGGAGGGCCGGAAGGGCACTCGGCCATCCACATGGCACAGTGCTAAGAATGGTGCATGGGCACCATACATGGCAGTGGACAGGAATAGCATCAGGGTCCAGCGAGCCTGTCTTGGACGGGCTAGGCCTGGCATACCCCCATCTTCTACACTCATGGCCCATACCAGACCCTGGGTGGCCTGTGTAGTTAGCAAGGGACAGAGGAACTGGGACACATCCGAAGGAAACCGAGTGCAGAACTGTGGCACATCACCAGAAAGAATACCTAGGATCAGAGTCAGCTGCACACTCCACAGTTAGGGCTTGAAGACAGCACTCGTGAGCCATACTTTTAGGTTAGTCTCATGGAACTAGGGAGGGAAGGAATGCAGGGTGCAGGCTGACAAATCACTGTCCACTCTCTGCAGGAAGAAAAGCAAGGATGAAAGAGATAGTATAGGTGGAGACGGCAAAGGAACAATAGCAGGGGAAGTTGGGCAGAGTGTCTGTGATAGAAAGGCCTCCACCTGCAGTCCCAACATGCTCATCCTGCCTTCCCCAAAGGGTCTAGTCAGGTCCCTTTCGTAGTGACCTAAAGTAGTTCTTCAGTGTCTTCTCCACATTGGGTATAGCATACGCCTGAGCTGCATAGATGCCAGTGCAAGTGCCCACTGCAAAGCCCAATACTGCTGATGCCCTCAGTTTGGCCACCACATAGCCTGCCAGGAATCCCTTGATGAATGGAGAAGACAAGAGTGAGGCATCCTGCAGGGAGAAACACAAAAAGAAATCAGGTGTGCTCTCCTTTTTAAGCTGGGCTTAGAGCATTTGATCACTTGCTTATCCTAACTGCTGACAGCTGTGCTCTTTTCTCCAATGGATATCTCAAAATTCTGGAGCTAGAAAAAAGAATGTCAGAATCCCAGTCACACAATACCAGAATCTCAGGTTCAGAGAGCTCTAATCAGATGCCATCCAGTCAGAATGCCAGAAAGGCTTCTGAGGAACCTGAGCCCCGCCTGCTCCTCCAGTTTCATTTCCTAGCATGGCCTCTGATGACTACAAACTACCTCTCTCCTACTTCATGTTCATATTGCTGCTGACCGCCAAGGCTTTGTGTGCTCGGTACCCGGAATGTTCACCCTCATCCCCACTTCTCCTATTTAACACCTTAAGATCTCAGCTCAAATGTTATTTTTTCCTCCCCTGTTGGTTCTAAGACAAGGTCTCTTGTGTGTAGCACTGGCTGGCCTGTAATTCTCTCAGAAGACCAGTTGGCCTTGAAGTTGTGTGTACCACAATGCCCAGTTCAAGTGCTTTTTTCTCAGGGAGAATTTTCTTGGGTCCTCAATGTCCATTTGCTAAAATAAAACTCTATTCCTATTCAACATTCCCAAGAGCATTTGGGGCCCTTACCTGCCCTACACCACTGTTGACTTCATCCTCCACACGCTGCTGTAGGCGCTCCAGCTGGTTCTTGAGAAATGTCAGGTCCTTAAGCTTGGGCAGAGAATCCTAGGACAAGGGAGAGGCTGGCTCCAGCATACTTGACCCAGTCCCATGCCCTGCTCAATTTTACCAGAGGCTAGGAACTAGGTGAGCTGTGGGAGGGATGATGGGAAGAACCAAATAAATCTCTTCCTACAAAACCTCCCTGAGATGGCAGGGATAAAGGAAGACACACATTGAAAAGCAAAGCACTCATATGGGGGACAGGGAGGTGACAGAATGTGCACCAGGAACTTGCAGTGACTTCTACAGAATCACAGAACAAGCAGAGGAACTTCTACTTAGCTTTAGGAAGGAAGTACTATTGATTGAAGTACAAGCCTGCTGAAAATGGCCATTAGTCTGCTTTCAGTGGTGTGTCCCAGTACCTGACAGAGAAACTGGCAGGCTATTAATAAATCTGTGGGTGATGCTGGGTTTCCAGATCAACTGTGAATAATGTATTGAAGCAGTTCCCTGTACAGTTCGAGGTTAACCTGGTATCTGTTTAGGCCGTTCCAAACTGAAAGAGACTACACGGATGTGTGGTGAATAACTGTCAGCAACAGTGACTAAGATTCAGTCTGATGGCATGTAAATATGAAATCCAACAAGCGAGCAATACGTGTCTGAATGAGGGTGGCGGTAAGGGTCGAATGGAAACGCTGTCTCTGAAAGGGAGACGTCAGGGACTAGAAAACGGCCCGAATGAGGATTGTTACATAGTGAATATATTTGAATGTGTGCTCATAATTAGGTACCGTGTCAGTTCCCAGAAGAGTAGCCCTTCGCCTAAAGCCCCCTACTGTCCCGGCAGTTGACAGGAACCCAGGGAAAAACAAGAATTACCTCTGTCGTCTCTGCTCAAATCTAAAAAGGTTAAGGAATTTGAAAACCACGCCGACCGAAGCAGACCTCGCTTTCAACTCACCTTGTCATCCGCCATCTTCCCCGCCGGACTTGTTGCGCATGCGCAGCCCCGCCTCCCTAGGTCAAAGGCTACTTCCATCTTTTCTGAGGGCAG